GATCGTCCAGGACGATATGATCGTATCAATCATCCTTCATTACTCCCTTGATTTCCTGATCAATTAAGGTATAATTTGAGAATTTCGTCCAGGCCGATCAATGATCGTCCTGGTCGATAATTTAAAAATACAGTATACTTTAATTGTATATGGCGACAACTTCTTTCTGTTTTGAGCTTATCGTCCTAGCTGATACACGTATCGTCTAGGCCGATATGTTAATGTCGGCTGCCTTAATTAAGAATCTTTATTTAGACTTTCTATTTTAAGCCTGATCGTCCAGGACCATAAAAATATCGTCCTGGCCAATATGAGTAAAAATAGAAATTCTGAGTCTCTCAAGTGTGTGTGTGTAGGGTTACTTAGCATCAGTCTCTTTGATCATTACAAGTAGACTCAAAAATTGAAAAATAAAAGTACAGACTGACTCAACCCTAAACCTACGCAATCCTAAACTGGCTTCATCTGTTCGTCTGATCTTCGATTCCTAAAAAGTTAGAATAAACAAGTAGTCCAAGAGAATCAATAGTGTTTGTCAATCATCAAAACACAGGTCATGAAAATAGGTTTGTAACACTATCGATAATAAGTTGTACTTCTACTCAATAAATAAGATCATTGTAGGAGTAAATTATATCTCACATCAATGATGATTACAAAGATCCAGGGCATCCATGAAAAACACATCCATTTCTTAAGTGTTTCTACCTTATTTTAGAGAATCCTTGATGAGGATGATGACGAGTCCTTAAAAATCCTTTGATTTGTAATAAATTACTCAATGAAAATCTAGTGAGGATGATGAAGGTGTATATAATTTTATTTGAGAAAGAAAAGAACCTATTGTGAGCTTGACTGTTAAGTGTGGCAAGTGAGACCTACCAAAAGAGTGAATTAAAAGCTTGTTGCATATGAATGTAGTCGTATAGTGGTTAATATGCTTGTAGAAATTAGCAGACCCACTATCAGATTCCCTGACACAGACAGAATCTCGACGGATTTTGGCCCCTTATGTCTCTCGTTGCTCTTATAGAACCAGAACAGATCAGATACATAGAATTTTCGGAACAGAACTTATTTTCAAATTTCAGAGCTCATTTCAGATTTCCCTGACACTTACAGAATCTCAAAGGATCATGGCCCCTTATAGATCCCTTCTGATAGCATATAAACACTTCAATTTATTAAATATATCAATTCAGAAAAATCAGAATTCGTACGAAAAATCAGCGGCATGACGGCAGTATACGAAATTTACACAAAATTCACAGATTCAGAAATTTACCAAATTACTACATAATATCCACAACAACATTATAAGACTTTTATTGTACTGACATAATATTTTTCAACATCCTGATAATTTGCAATTCAATTAAAACGCCACATAATTCAAAATATCCGGTAAAACTCTTCCAGAAAATGCTCAAAACATGCACAATTATCATCTCAAAAACATAGCAAAAGTTACGCGGTAAAACCTTTGTCAGAAGAAAATAATATTAGAAATTCGCTAACGGAAAAAAAATTTGGAACAGAAAAGTCGTTAAAATCCACGTTTCTGAAAATTGAGAAAGGCGGAATGTGTCTTACCTCGAGTCGATTAACTTTCCCAACTACGGCGACGGACCGAAGTCGCCCAAAAATCCACTTTTCTTCCTCTTTCCACGGTTTTCTCTCTCCTGGACTTTCTCTCTCTTCAAAATCGGCACTATTTAGATATTTATTAAGCAGGATCGTCTCGGATGATGTCCCGATCGTCCCGGGATGATCTTCGCTGGATACAGATCGTCCAGACAAAAATAAATTCCAATTTCTTCATCCCTGTACGAAACTCTCAGGAAAATTTCGTCCCTGGACGAACCCATTTCGTACAAACGAACCAGCAGATTTCTTTACAACCTGTACCGATCGTCCCGGGACGATCCACTTCATCCCGGACGATCCTGGGAGGAAAAAAAGTGTTTACAATCTCCCCAACTTCAGAAAAATGTCGTCCTCGACATTGCCAAACCAAAACTCTGTCAAAACATATACTGATAGGATTGTCTCATGTCCGACTCTTTCTTCCAAGTCGCTTCTCTAGCTGTTCTGCGCTTCCACAGATCTTTAATCATAGGAATCTGTTTATTTCTTAACTTACGCACATCATAGGCCAAAATTTTCTCAGGTTCTTCTTTATACTGTAGATTCTCTTGAATCTCAATCTCGTCAGCAGACAGCTTCTTATCATAATCAGATATCCACTTTCTCAAAGAGGATATATGAAAAATATTATGCACATCAGACAGCTGATCTGATAATAACAATCTATAAGAAGACTTTCCAATCCTTTCAATAATCTCAAAAGGTTCGACATACCTTGGACTGAGCTTGCTCACTCTATCAAATCTGCTGACACATTTCATCGGACTGACTTTGACATACACAAAGTTGCCAATATGAAATTCCACAAATCTGTGCTTCTGATTGTAATACTTTTGTTGTCTATCTTATGCAGCTTTCAATCTTTCTTTAACCAGATTGATTTTCTTAACAGTTTCATCCATAAACGTCACACCCATTTCCTGTCTATCACCCACCTCTGTCAGAGTCAAAGGAGTTCTATACTTCCGGCCATACAAAGCTTCGTAAGGTGCCATACCAATACTGGACTGAAAACTGTTATTATAAGCAAATTCGATCAAAGGGATATGATCTTCCCAGGTTCCTCCAAAATCCAAAACACATAACCTTAGAAGATCTTCCAGTACCTGAATAGTCCTCTCAGACTGTCCGTCAGTCTGCGGATGAAAAGCAGTACTGAAATGCAACTTCGTACCCAAGCCTTGCTGAATACCCTTCCAAAGTCTAGAAGTAAACCGTCCATCTCGATCAGATACAATTACTTTAGGCACACCATGTAGTCTAACAATTTCCTTCACATATACCTGTGCCAACTTA